ACAAGATTATTTATAGTGTGCTCTAGATGTAACCGTCAGCTTCACTGACGGGTTACATCTAGTATATATTAACATTAATATACAAAAAAAAAAATAACGGTACTTCTTATTTCGAATGTTTGCAAAAACGATCGGTGTAAAGTTTCTTTACGCGCACGTGATTTTTTATGATATTTTGTACTCGAGAGTAGCCCAAAAGTTAAACCATAATCAAAAAACTACCTTGCAGTATCACCATTTAACAAGAATCAGAAACTGTAAAAAGTTTATTACTTCAAATATTATTATAATTTAGAAATAAAAATAAAATAAAAAGATAAATAATTATAACAGATTAGCTAGAATCTAGCGTTTATTAATCAATCAAATGTAAATAAACCGAAACCGAAACCGAACTGAACTTTTCGGTTTATAAACCAAATTTTTTGCATACAAACGAAACCGAGTCGAATTTATTTTTTAAACCAATAAAAATTTAAAATTGATAGTGTTACCAGAATTAGAAATTCATTGGCTGAAATTCTCTAATTCCGCATTAATCTATTTCGTAACGTATACACATCTAAACTCGATAAGTCAGACATTTATTTATATTATAAAGTACTTTAAACAATTGATTGCTGCGTCCGACTTATCGAGTTTAGATGTGTATTACAATTAACAATCCATTGATCCGTTAATATTAACAACAACAATAATAATATTGATTTTTTTTAATGCTGAAGTAAGGACTTTTTGACCATGTTTATTTATCTAATACTAATACATCATGAATTCTACCCATTACTATTAAAATAAAATTAATATCACAATCTTTCAATCCTTTTAAGAAAAAAACATTAAATTATTTTTCAAATGAAAAGAAAATTTTAACAGGTTCAAATATTCTTAATATTAATATTAATATTAACGGGTCCATAACGTTAATCAGTTAACAATCCGGGTAATAATAATTTTTTGTGGTGATTTTTGTTTATATTTTATTATCTCATTTTTATATCATCATTGATTAATATGAATAAGTGTATTGAATAAGTAAAATGTATTGTCGGAATTAGTTTTTGTATAATAATAATAATAAAAATAAATAAGCCTTGTATCACATTATAAATAGATCACATGACAATGATCTGCTAATTTCCTATATAACGGTCTTTCTCTATTTACTATAGTAATAATGGGCTTTCTTTGCTGAAAGACCGTATTATATACAAAAAGGTTAATAAGGAAATTAAAAAGGTTTTGTTCAATCAGCACCCAATCAGCACCCAATCAGCGAGTGCCTGCTATTTATTATTATTATTTATTTATTTTTTTCTCGTGTCACATAATGAAAATGAATTAATAGACGGAACAAAGTTCTTTTTTTAAAAAAATTTATTTTTTTAAAACTTTTCCTTTATTTATTTTTATAAAATTCAATTAATTTATCTATTATTATTATCGTTATTATTAATTATTTAAAATATCTGAATTAAAAACATGACTACCAAAGAATCAATACTGTCAGAAAAAACCTTAAAGCCCAACTCTAAAGTCAACCAACCGTCTGAACCATATAAAAGAGTAATATTTATAGGTGTAGATGGAATTGGAAACTTTGCAGCACCACCAGCTAACTGTCCAAACATTCAAAATTTTCTTTCAACCAGTGCTCACACCTATAACGGTAGAGCTGAATCACCAACAATAAGTGCACAAAACTGGGGATCAATGTTTCATGGTGTGACTCCTAATAAACATGGTTTAACTAATGAATTAATTGAGAATGGTAAAGCATATCCAGAAGATGACAAGTATCCAAGCATATTGAAAATACTTAACAACAACAAAAGCAACAAAGAATTCACATCTGCAAGTATAGTTTCTTGGTCTCCAATTAATACAGGAATATTGGAGTTATCATTGAAAACTCAGCGATTTTCATTCCCAAATGATGAACCTTGGTATACTAGATTTTGGCGTAAAATACAAAGTACAATTTTTGCCAAATACACTGAAGATAACCCTGTATTTGAAAAATCAATTGAATTTCTACAAAGTAAAAATTATGTGGATTTCTTGTTTATTTATTTTGGTACAGTTGATTCAATGGGCCACAGGAAAAATTATCAAGGTGAACAGTATTACCAACAATTAGAATTAATTGATGGATATGTTGGAGGAGTCCTTGAGGCAATCAAAGAGTTTGGTTGGGATGAAGATGCTTTGATTTTGTTGACAACTGATCATGGTGGCATTAAAAATAATCATGGTGGAGATTCGGAAGAAGAATTAAACATAATTTGGGGTGCCAGAGGTGAAGGAATTGAGTCAGGTAAAATTCTTAAAGAGGTTTCTAATATGAGTATAGCAGCTGTTATTTTGACTGCTTTTGGCAAAAAAATTCCTGATTATTTTGATTCTAAAGTTCCTGATGGTCTTTGGAATTAGAATAGATAAAAATATATGTTTGTTTTTTATAGTTATATTCATTTATATATAAATAATAATAATAATAATAATAATAAGATGAATTAAGTTTTTTTGAAATAAAATATTTATTTCAACTATTATTACTAATGATAATTATCCTAATGACAGTGCTAAAGAATCAAGCCACCAAAAACCTCCAACTTTTGCAATTTCTCTAGCGGTATCAGTTATAAATTCTTTATGTCTATTGAATTCCTTATCAATTATAGTTAGACCTTGGAGAAAGTCTTCATAGTCTACTATTGAAGGTATCAATGGTTTGTTATCATTTTTATTTGGCCTGATCCATTGATCATCCTCTTCATCCAATAAATTTGAATTTGTGTCATCCTCATCATCATCATCATCATAATAGTCATCATGATGATTTTTTCTTGATCTGTCAACTTTAGAATGATCAAAAAATGATACATTTTCACCTTGATATCTTGTATATAACGTAGTAAATTGTATTGTCAAATTAAATACATCCAATATTGAATTATGAATAGGTTTTGCCTATTTAAAAAATATTAATATTTTATTTAGTAAATAAATAAATAAGCAAAGATTGTTATTATTATTTCATTCCTAAATTATTTCCAAGAGCCAGCTAACCTTTTCATTGAGTAAACATCTATCATATGTTGTTTGAATAAATTGTTCATGCATTTTTACCATTTCATCAACGTCAAAAATTTGTTTCATTTTTTTATGAAAATTTTCAGTTTCTGAATGAAGTATCTGATTTTTTTTTCAATCATATTTTCAATTAATAATAATAATAATAACATTCATGTGTGTGTATATATATATTTGGTTTAATAAACTTACTGTTCTCATTGTATAATCATAAATTGTATTTAAAAACCATAATAATTTTATTCTGACACCATAAAATAATATCATGGCTGCTGTTTTTTCTAGATGACTTTGAATCCTGGTAAATGCTAATCTTTCCAAAAGGTATTTTGCTCGTTTTGCTTGTAATAAAAATATTATAATACGTTTATAATATTTTAAAGTCTTATTGTGTATTATAATGTTTAATGGCCATGGCAACTACCATATATATGCATAAATTAATCATTAATATTTTCAAGTTATTTTCCATTCACTTGTTCATATAAAACAATACTTACACGATAATCAATAACAATTTTTTCAAAAACGTTAACAGTTGTTGTATTTGGTCTTTTTGTAGAATCATCATCATCAATCCAAGCACTAACTAAATTTTTATCTAACCATTTAAAATTTTCTACAACGTTTAGAAAAATATGGTTAATAACATATCCATCATACCAAACTTGCTTTTTATCAATCTAAGCAATTTAAAAATAATCAAAATATTATTAATATTATTATGATTTAACTTTTAAATAATTAAGTAATAGAACAATATAGTGATATAAAATAGCCACTGTAAACATACCCTATCAAATATTATATCACATAATTGATGCATAGATTCACCCTGTAACATAAAATACATCCCAGAAAGTGCTTTTAAATGTTTCCAAAGATCACATTGTCTAACTAAAGCCTTGTAAAGTTGTTGTCCTATCTTTTCATATCGAGGCTGAAGATAATTTTCAAAATTTTCTTGGAATTGTTCAGTAAATGGTTGAAACACAGACATTTCATTCAAATCTTCATATTCGTTTTCATTTAGATGATCCACCAAAGAAACATTCAATTCACTTTTTGTTGCAGTTGTAGTTATATTTCCTTCTTTCTTTGTCTTTGATTGAGTTAATAATAATAAAAGTGGAAACTGATAAGAAATAACCTTTGGATATATATCAACAATCTGATTCATATCTGGCAATTTTCCAATTTCTAGCAATTTAATAGTCTCACCATCACCATCATGGTTTGATTGGCTACTTGTGTTGTCATTTTTATTATTATCCTTGGAACTTTCTGTACTTTTCACATCAATATCCATTTCATCATCATCAACAACATCAATAACAACATCGTCCTCTTTATCATCAACAACATCAGTATCTTTAATTTTTGTATTTTCTTCAACAAATTCCTCATCAATATCCATTTGGTCAGCAGAATTAATAATAATATTTTTAGGGTTACTTGTGTTTTCATATTTATCAAAAATATCATTATCACTATCACTGTGATTGTTGTTTCCTTTAACATCTTCAAGATTTTCCACATATTTGTCAATATTCTGATTTAAATTAATAATAATTTAATAAATTTATTATTATTAAAAGTTAAAATATTTTTTAAATACAACAACAATAATAAGTACTATTATAATGGTAATTTACCTCATTTGATTTTAATGTCATTAGTAAATTACGAGCTTTTCCAGAAAATAAAATCCTACTCACCAAAGGTGATAAAAAATCAGGAAATTGTTTCTTTGATAATTCATCATAGTCATAATTATCAATAAAATCATCATTATCATTGTTGTTGTCACCGCCATGATGATCATTGTCATTATTAATATTTCTTATTTTATACAAATTCTGCCAATATTGAGAGGATTTTTGATTTATTCCTGGTGCTCTTTTATTTATTTATAATAATAATTAGAACCAGACAATTTATTTATTAAATCAAATCAAAGATTTGCATGTATACAGATATATATACAAATGCCTTTTTTTAACAAACCTCACAATAAAAAATTCATTTGCAGGATCATTTAAAACCCCCTTACATATCCAATCATCTATCATTCTCATATAAGGTACCAATGTATTATCCAGGTGTTGAGCAAATATTAAAAATATAGATTTGTTTCCGATAGTTTGATGATGTGAAACTTCGGTAAATAATTTAGATAAAATATTACAAGTGATTTCTGATGCAGACTTCATTAATGATTTATTATTATTATTAAATAAAGTTTTATCATCATAATTAATTGAACATTTTGATTCATTAAATATCTCTAAAAATATGCCCAAAAAAAAGTAAAGGTAATTAGTTGGTTTTGAAATAAATAAATTCTTTTATAAACATATCAGTCATTATATATTGATATACATATTGCTATATCATAATACCTCCTAATAAAGAATTTTCAAAAAAATCATGTAGTATTTTAAACTTATTTAAATTGTCTGAAAGCAAGTTTTGGAGGTTTAGCAGAGAAATGTATACATCACTTTCTACCAAGAAAAATCAAAAAAAAAAATTAGCAATTATTATATATATAATATTTAAATATATATTTAATAATAATAATAATAATAATAATACAAATATAGTAGAGTTTTGAACTCCAGTAACTACTTACATGGATCAGGATCATCCAATTTTTCTTTTAATCTTGGAAAACTAATTCTCAATGCCTCAGGAAATCTCAGGAAAATTTTATAAAGCACAAGAACTACTTTTTTTCTAATATAAGGCCTAGAATGGTTAAGCATAGAAACCAAGTCTTGACATAGATCACGTGCAAGATCTGGAGTTACTAAATGTGAGAGTCCATTAAGAGCTACACCAACTTCAAGATGATTTCCAGAGGCTAAATCCTATTTTTTTTTTACGATAAATATTATTTTAAATATCTATTTATCTATTTATAATTGAAATTTGATGGATAATTGAATAATTAATAAATACTTTTTTCAATAAATTAGTTGTCAACATTAATACATCGGTGTCTTGACGAAAAGATTGTGCAGCTGCTAAATATCCTGTTCTTTTTTGTGTAAATTTTGGTGAAGACATTACCTCAACAACATGAAAAGATGCCCAAGACATGTCATAGCCCAACATTTGAAGCTATAAGTAATAATAAAATATTCATTTTTTAATAAAAATAAATGCTTTTAATAAGTTATAAAAGTATGTTTTATTATTATTGATCATACATAGGTTAATTTTGAAATAGCCATTGCTTTCACATCAGGATCATTACATTTAACTTCTTGATGTATTTCTTGTAAACAGGTTGCAATGTATTTTTGTTCATGTTTCTTATTCGCTCTTATTCCACGAATTAAATCAGTTAAATTTTTTTCAAACATGATCTAAAGTTTATTAAATAAATAAAAGATCATTCAACATCTAATAACAAGAGAAAATAGTTGTACAAATTTAATGATAACGTGAACTTCTTACCTATAAAGGAAATAAGATTACCACTTGGAGAAAGATCACCTAATTTAAAAACTCAGCACATGATTAACATCAAACAAATAAATTTATAAAAAAAATTATGTCTTCTTCATATAATAAGATAGGAAAACTTTTGGGTTGGCTAAGTTTTTTGGCTTTATTCCATTCAACTTATTCAACTTATGAACGTATGTTGAAATTGTTGTATTTTAAGATTTAAGATTATTAAGATTATATACTTTAAGAAATTCTTAAATTTTTTCCTGTTTAGATCTTTCTTACTTAAAAGCCGTGGAGAAAGTTCCAAACGATGTACCAATTGAAGTATGTATAAATTTTAAATAATTTGCTTAAAAATGATTAAAAAATACTTGAGGTAAAATTAATAATTAATAATTATTAATTGTTAATTGTTTAAATATGTAGATTATAATTGAATGTCTTTTGTCAGTAGTAACGTTTTCCGTTAGTGTAGTAATGATAGCAGGACCTTTAAAACCCATATTAATGAAGAATGAAATGGCAACAAAGTATGAAAAAATTAAAATAATATATTACTTCATTATTCATTCTCTATTTTCTATAATGATAATATATCAAAATAATATTAATAATATTTATTTTATAGAACAATTGATAAAATTGATAATCGTCCTTCGTTTAATAACTTTAATCATCGTGGAAGAATAATAAAAATATAAAATAACAATAGCTACAAAAATAAATACATTAACTAATATGAAATGTTACTCATCAGCACTACTACTTCCATGTTTAAGAAATTCTGATAGACGCACTGGTGTGCCTCCGGTATGATCTTCTTCGTGAACTTTATGTTTATGTTTCTTTTTTATTT